GCTCCTAAATAGGAGGACATTTAATCAAAATTTGTACCAAGAAAAAGTGATAAGATGAGGATGCTTAATAGGATATTGTTACTAATCTGCTAAGCCTCTATATGAAGGTGAGAATGAAACTAGAGAGCACCTAATTTCTAGTATTCTTATTTTAGCCTTAATAATATTTTCTCATAGGATTAATGTGGCATATTTTTTTTGGTCGAAAGAATTTTTTTATTTCAGCCAGTTTTTCAATTTACATCACCTGTACTTTGGACTCTAGTATCAGGTCTCATGACTGAAACCAATAAACAAAAACATCTATCCCATAACACTCATGGGTCTTTTTCCTATCCTACTTGTTATGAATTACAATTAGGATAACTATTTAGTGTACTCAATATTGGTATCCATTTATATTTCTTCTGTCCTGTTATGTGCACCTGCATGGCTATGTCTTTTGCTCTATCTTTGACCTCTCTACTCTGGTTTTGAAATCTTATTTCATTTCGCTCGATCCAGATGTGATATACTACTGCTGCAAACACCACTCTTAGCAAAGTTTTCCTTGGATTTCTGTTGTTTACATTGGTAGTTAACCACTGCACCTCAGCTTCCCAGTTTTCAACTTTTCTCTAGTATCATAGCCATCCTAGCATTCCTGTCCATAAGCTCTGTGAATATGGACACTTGAAATACAAGTGATCATGTGTCTCTTCTATGTCACCTCCACATAGTACACAAGAGTGAGTCACCTGAATTCCCCATTTTGCTAGTCTGTCAACTGTGGCCAGCCTTCTTTGAATTGCCATCCATAAAATGAATTGCTGCTTTGGTAGTATTCCAGTCAACATGACTACTGCTTTCTAGTAGACTTTGGGATACCTTGGAGTAGCATGAAGATAAGCTTTCTGAATGTTGAATCTCCCATTCCCAACAAAGGACTCAATTGTTGGTATGTCATTAGCCCACCATTCTCTTGCTGTAAACAGTTTCCTTACTAGCCAACTAGCCTGCTTTGGGATCTCCATTGTATTGATGTCATTCTGCTTTATGTAGTAGCAATGTATTCATCTAATCCAAAGCTTGTCTTTCTTAGCCATTATAGCCCAGAGGAGTTTAGTCAAAGCAGCTTTGTTCCATCTCTCATAGTTGATAATGTTTAGACCCCCAGCAGCTTTTGGTTTACACAATGTTTCCCATGTTATAGGAGCTCTATGAGTGTTCTCATGACTACCAGTCCACAAATAGTTCCTGCAATACCATTGACAAGTTTAATAACTTTCTTTGGAATAAGGAATACTTGAGCCCAGTAGGTATGCATTTCAAACAGGACGCTCTTAATGAGTTGTAGTCTTCCAGCATAGGACAAGAACTTTGATGTCCAGCTTCTTATCCTTTGCACAATCTTCTCAACTAATGGCATGCACTGGTGAATAGTAATTTTCTTTGATGACAAAGGGACTCCCAAGTATTTGAATGGGATGTTGCCTGCTGATAGTTGAAGTTCTGCTAACATTCTGTCTTTGAATTCCATAGGCACACCTGCTATATATAATGAGCGTTTTTCCAAATTTGCTTGTAGACCTGAGACCTTGGAGAAGTGATCAAAAACTCCCATCATCAACTTCATTGATACCTCATCTGCTCTACAACACATCAGTAAGTCATCTGCAAAGCAGATGTGTATGACTTGTAGTCTAGCACATTTAGGATGAAAGCTAAAGTCTGGGTTCTGAGTCAGTGTCTTCAGAGATCTGTTTAGGTACTCCATTGCTAATACAAACAAGTATGGGGACATAGGGTCCCCCTGCCTTAACCCTTTTCTTGCTGCAAATTTATCAGTTAGTCCACCATTCAGTAGTAGAGTATAACTGACTGTAGATACACATTCCATGATTAGTGCTACCATTTTGTATGGTATCCCAAACTCTAGCAGTACTGCTTTCAAAAAACTCCATTCAACCGAATCATATGCTTTTTTGATGTCTACTTTGATCATATATCTAGGAGAGACTGCTTTTTGAGAGTACCCTTTAATCAATTCATGAGCCATTATGACATTTATATTTCTCCCTTCTATGAAGGCAGACTGAGAAGGTCCAACCAATAGATCCACAACTAGTTTAAGCCTATTTGTCAGTATTTTAGCAATAATCTTGTACATTGTTGAGCAACAGGCAATAGGCCTAAATTCCTTCACATAGCTAGGGTTTTTCACCTTTGGGATTAATGTAACAGTTGTGCGGTTAATTTCTTTCAATAGTCTGCCTGTTTGAAGGAATTGTTGTACTGCTTCTATTACCTCCTTTCCAATTATTGGCCAATATTCCTTAAAGAACTCAGCAGGATATCCATCCATACCTGGTGCCTTGTCATTAGGCATATTCTTCACAATCTGACAGATATCCTCTGTTGTCACCACTTGCAACAGTTGTTGCTGCTGATTCAGTGTTAGACAAGGACCATTTCTTGCTATATTGACATCAATCCCTGGTATTTCATCAGCTGTTGTCCCCAATAGTTGCTGAAAGAACTGGATGAAGTCTCGCTGAATGTGTTTTGGCTCATTGATCTTCAGCTGTTGTTCAGTATAGATGCAACTCAACTTATTCTTGCTTGTCTGGCCCTCATGTAAGCATGGAAATATTTGGTGTTACAATCTCCTAGTTGGATCCATGTTGCTCTTGACCTTTGCCTCATAATTTTCTCCTGAATTGTTTCCCATTTCTCTATGCTTTCTAAGGTCCTTCTTTCTTCTTCTATCAGCTATTTGTTGAAGTAGTCATCATTGAGCTTCCCCTGTATCTCCTTCAATGTTTCTCTGAATTGTATCAGCTTTTGATCCACTGAGGAATGTTCCTGTTGAATATCCCTTGTTTGTTGCTCAATAAGCTTCAGCTTTCTCCATACAGAATACATGACATATCCTTGAATCTTTTGACTCCAAGTGTTCTGGACTACTTCCTTGTACTCTCTTTGTTGCATCACTGATGTTAGTAACCTATAAGGCCTTTTCACTTTAACCTTGATCACCTCAGTATTTATCATTATAGGGGTATGATCTGAGCATCCAGGTAGCATGTATATTGCCTCTACCCCATTATAAACATTGAACCAATCTGCATTCCCAAAAGCCCAATCTATGTGGCTATATATTCTGATTTCTGCATCCCTTTTATTGCTCCATGAAAATCTGTTACCTCTTTTTGTGATTTGTCCCACTCCAATATCATCAAAACAGTTTTGAAAATCAGTCATTTCTGCTTGATGAACTGCACCCACATTTAGCACACTGTTGAAGTCTCCTATTATGATCCAAGGTCCATTAGTTTGCATGTTCCTCAAGCTTCTCCATAGTGGGACTATGTGCTGAGCAGTGTGTAGGCCATATACAAATGTTATGTAACTGGTAAATGCCGAATTCTTGTCCTTCACTAGACAGTGTACCAGCTGGTCAATGCTCTCCAAAATTGTTACATGGACATTTGCTTCTTTCCACAATAACCATATTCTACCATTAGGTGCATAATCATAGTTGTCTTTGAATTGCCAGTCTACACCCAACTTCCTCTTAATAGTCTGTGACCTGTGTTTTTTAACTCTAGTCTCCAAACAAGCTATCATATCTACTTTATTTGTCAACAAGAACTTCTTTAGTTCTTGCTGTTTATAGGACTTATTCAGTCCTCTAATATTCCAGGACACAATGATCATGGGGGCTTGTGATAGCTGGAAGTACCCTCATTAGCCGTTTGGCCTGCTATAGTACTAGAAGATTGCCCCTGCTCTCCCTCAGTAAATGGCCTCTCCAATATTGTCAGTGGTGCAAATGCATTCCTTCTAGCTAGTTCTTCATAATTGATCTCTTTATGTTTTGTTTTGCCAGCTGCTCCTTGTATTACCACTGCCTGTTTGCCTCTGTTAGTCACTTGAATCTCCACAACTGGTTCTTGTTCTGTGTGATTCTCTTGTTGCAGGATAGTTGTGTTATTGCTTTCCTCTACTACTGCTTTAGGTTTCCATTCCATTTTAGTTCTCTTCTTTCTTCTTCTCTTATGCTTCATTGGTTCCTCTTCTTGCTGTGTTGCTTGTTGACATTCTCCAGTGCCATGCCCAAATTTGTTGCACTCTAAACAGAATTTTGGTTTCCATTCAAATTCAACTCTCTGCATCCAGCTTCTATTTGACATCTCAACACAAACCTCATCAGGCAATGGTTGCGTAATGTCCATTTCAACAAGGATTCGAGCATATGATACCTTTTCACATTCTGCTGTAAGTCTATCAGTGTAAATAGGTTTTCCTAGTAGGCTAGCAATCCTACCTAGATTTTCCTCAGCCCAACATTGGATCGGTAGCCCAGGAAAATTGATCCAAATTGGAACAATTTTCATGGACTCATTCTGCATCTGGTCCCAATCCTTCAACACCATAGGTCGGCTATTGAACGTGTACGGGCCATTTTGCATTATTAGGTTTTTGTCCTCCATAGATTCAAATTTAAAGAGAAAATACCTGTCATCATGCAGCAACACTGTTGGAGTTGTGACTGTATTCCATACGCCATAGACAAATTTAAGCATCTCCTTGAATGACGGATTTCCCCCTAGGACATAACCTATCAAAGTTGTTCTCCATCGCTGGGACTGTTGCTCTATCTCCTTTGGGTTTAATTTGGCCATTTTCACTCCGTCCTTCACTGTCAGAGGGTAGAATTTGAGTTGCATGCCTTGTGTTTGAACTCTGTTGCCTTTCACTACTTCAGCCATGGTCTGTTTAGCTTGAGATCCAGCTGAATATGTTAATTTTCGTGCCGCTGTAATCATACCTGTTTCCATTGGTTGCACTTCATTCTTCTCCACCTCCGGCGGAGCTTGCATGACCGTAGGTGCACTTCCCATGCTTGGTAGCCAATGTAACAGTTGTATTGGAGCTAATTTTTGGGGAATTCCACTTTCTGGCGTAATTAGTCTAGTTATACTATCAATTGGAAGAGGAGATTGTGTAGGGTGGTTATGGTGATTCCGGTGAGTCATCGATCGGCGTTGTCAGCTTCCTTGCTCAACAAATCGCCGGTGTTTCTCTCTCTACTTTCTCTCTCTACATGTTCAACAAATTGCCTCGAGTATATTAATGTGGCATGTTTAAGACCACAAGATTCAAAAACTATTTTCGATATGTTAGACACACATTTAAAGATCCTAATACATTCTTAAACTTCATAAATCGTAGTATATAATCAAACTAAAACGTGTAAAAAGAAACGGAAAAAATACTAATTACTAACTACTAATCGATATCACATGGTTTGAATTACGAAATTAACTTAAACATTAATTGTTTTTTATTATGATGATAATCATGGAAATAATAAATAGAAAAAATAGATAAAACTTGACGGAAAGTAGTTTAATGAGAATTCATACTATCTGATTTTTAACTAAATAAGAATATCTCATATGCAAAATGTATAATTGAAAATATTATCTTTAGACATGGGTGAAAATTTAATTAGGAAACCCTTCTTGGGAAGTGCTTTCTTGGGAAGCCCTTAAATGAATATTTTGGCTCAACATAACTTCTTATTTTGGCAACTTTTTGGGCCCTTTTGTTGAAAATCCAAATGAGGAAAGTATAAGGTAACTACAAAAATAGACAGATTCCAGAAAAGGTAATTTCAATCAAATCAGCAGTGGAACACTTCCCCTGGCTTATCCTTCCAACACAGAAACAAGCGCACAGTCCTTTTGCAACTACTTTATTGCACAAATGACCAAAATTACAAAGGTTTTTGCTTTGTTTTTTTTTTTTTACTTAAAATAATAATTACTATTCTCTACATACTTTTTTTTTTTTTCTGAAAATACCATTAATGAAAAAGCTTAAGACCTTTCTTTTTTCTTTTTGGGTTTTGGAAAGTGAAGTTCAAGATTGGAATTTGTCAGCTGAAAGTTATTGGAGACAAGAATGCTAACATTTCTCAGGCTCGAAATCTTATCCATGCTGCTGCAGAACAAGGCGCAAACCTTATACTTTTGCCTGTTAGTTGCTTTTCCATTTACTAAACATTTGAATTCTTGGCTGTATATTCATAAATATTTAGTTGCTACTCTGATCCTGACTTTACATTCTTTTTCTCTTCTTTCCTTTTCAAATGTTTTTTCTTTGCACAATTTTTAGAACTTTTACATGTGTGTGTTATTTATGCTAACTTGCATACAGGGGCGAAAACAGGATTTTCAATAAGGGAATTCAAAACATAAAATAAGTAAACACGCGATAAAGCTAAAGGGATTCAACATTAAATATATATACATGAAAAAAATTAACTTTATATACATAGTATAATTTTCGGTGTCGGTGAGGGGGAGGTTGAATCCCCTTCTGCTCACCTAGCTCCGTCCTTGCCTGCATACACTAGCTTAATTAAACTGTCATAGATGAGTTGAGCTAAGACTATGTTATATATGTAGACTTTCTGGTGAATTGTCAATTTGTCTCGTATTATCGTCTAAGTAACCAAATTCAAGGAGCACCGTTTGTTAGTAACATGTATTCAAAAATATTGTGGAAACTCACACAACGTAAAACAAAAATGTAGAAGAAGCAGGATTATATCCGAGCCCACATAATTCACAGTATTTCTTTAAAAAACGTAATTCCCTCCTAGTATCCGAGATTTAGAATTATTTCCTCCCCAGGAGAATAGATAACTAAATTGGTGTAGCGGTACTTCAAACATCAGTGTACAACGAACATAAATGGCGGCAATGACCCACACTTACTTTGTTTTTATGAGAAAACAATGCAGAAATGAAGAATTCAGAATTTTCGTAAGCAAAATCTAAGGAAATGGCCTGATATTTATAGCCGACAAGTTGAGTTCAAATGAAGAGGTGCAACTCTTCCAGATGGCCTTTCGCGTAAAACAACTATAACAAAAATGGCTATTTACGCAAAATAAAATGGGAAAATAAAATCGTACAGAAACAATTGATTTGGATTAAAAATATTAATATAATTTTAAAATTTATCAAATGAATTTGGTTCAAAAAATTAATTAATCAATCAATCAGATCCGATGACGACACAATGCTTGACTTCTTCTCAACTCTTTAAGAGCTACAAGAAGTGCAATTATATATATACCAACAAATGAGCTTTCCTCCTTCAATACGGGACAATGTTACTTTGTAAAGGAGGGAAATTGAACATTTCATTTTCAAATTCAAAAGATATGATCAAGATTCAAGAATGAAAGACTATCTCGTTAAATGTAGCTTATTAGCAAATGGCAGATATGATGATTCAAAATTCTCAACCAAGTTCTTGTAGGAAATGTGGATCTGCCCATATTCAGCTGATCTGTTTGCAGAGTTTGCGGAGAACTTGAATGATATAAACAGCTCGCCTTCGTCTCTAATGTTATCTGAAGTGGCTTACTCTCTAGGAGTCACCATTATAGGTGGATCAATTCCAGAAAGGGATGCGAGTAGCGGTAGATTGTACAATACTTGCTGTGTGTTTGGATCCAATGGAGAATTAAAGGCTAAGCACAGGAAAGTAAGTTCTTTTGGTTAATTGGAATCAGGAAGCTCCATTATGGAAGAAAAGAAAATGGAAATGTTATTTTTGCTGTGTGTTTCTGCAGATACATTTGTTTGATATGGGTAAGCCATTACCAGGAGATGTTCACTTTAAGGAATCAGATAGTTTTTCAGCAGGAGAGAAGCCTACCGTCGTTGAAACAGGTAAGCAACAGTTTCTGGCTTAATCTGTTGAGGCAGAGCTAGGATTTCAACTTTGTGGGTTCTAAATTTTGAAACGACAACCGTAAGTGCTACTACCTGGGTTCTAAATTCAGTGTTTGTATATATTTAATGAACTTTTTAATGCAAATACATTGTTTGAGCAAAAGTTACTGGGTTAGGCCGAACCTGAATACGAACGTCTAGCTCCGCCCTTGAACATTGTAAGACATCTTTCAGAAGTCCTCCATTCTTTATTAGGGGAAGTGAACTTTGGTTATACTGCAGATTTTGGTTGCATTGGCATAGGAATTTGTCATGATCTTCGTTTCCCTGAACTCGCGATTCTGTATAGAGCAAGAGGTAATGATAATTTTCATATTTAAACTAGTGTTTAATCTTGTTAGGCTACATCCTCCATCGTCCTATGTTTACTAGAAACTTGTTGCTGATGACAATCAGGTGCTCATTTAATTTGTTATCCTGGAGCTTTCAACATGAGTACAGGAGAGGGTTTGTGGGAACTGGAACAGAGAACAAGGCAAGACTTTTGGCAGAATCATACAGCACTTTCTACTGTCCTAGTCTTGTTTTTTTAATCGTATTACATATGCATAATTAGAAGGGCAGCCCCTTGGAGCAACAGTAAAGTTGTCTCGCCTATAGGCGGAGCCAGGATTTCAAGCTTATGGGTTCGGATTCTAATCGTTTTAAGTTACTGGGTTCTAATTTAATAATTTACATATATTTAATGAATTTTTAAGACAGATACATGGTTCTTATTAAAGCTACTGGGTTCGGCCGAACCTGCACCCCGCACTCTAGCTCCGCCCCTGCCTATAGGTCACGGGCTCGAGCAGTGGAAGCAGTCACTAATGCTTGCATTAGGGTAGACTGTCTACATCACACCTCTTGGGAAGCGACCCTTCCGCGAACCCCGAGTAAATACGGGATACCTGTGACCAGGCTGCCCTTACACATGCTTAATAACACAGTCAATCTCAATACAAGAAAGTGTCTTGTACTCTTAAGGATCCCATTTTGTTGATTGAGATTTGAGATGTAACAAATTTCACTTAAACTTTTGATTTTGCAGGGCAGTCGATAACCAGGTAATTACTCTTAAATCTCCATAAAATTCAAAGCTAGAGGCTGTAAATTGACTCAAGCTTGGTGACAGCTTTATGTGGCAACTTGCTCTCCATGTCGAGACTCGAATGGTAGCTACATGATATGGGGTCATTCTACTGTGGTTGGACCAGTATGTCAACAAACTGCATCATTAATCTGCAATTGTTACCCTCAAAAGTTCAAGACTAACACTGTGATCTGTCTTTGCAGATGGGTGAAATTATTGGAACCACAGGGCACGGCGAAACAGTTCTAATTGCTGAGATTGACTATGCTAAGATTCAACTTACAAGGTGATCTGCATAATTTGCTGTATATCCTAAGTTGCTCAAGTATTTGAATATTGCAGTTATCTTAACTTCATTAAAACCATTTGCAGGGACAGCTTTCCCTTAGAGAATCAAAGGCGCAATGATGTCTATCGATTTATTGACTTGCATCAAGAAAGTCCTTAAGGCTTTGATATATGATACAACAATCTGGTCATGTAATAAGTTTGAAATGTTAATCATTTTAAGGGAATTAATAGATTTGCTTACTAGTAAAGGGGGATCAATAAGGGCCTTGATTTTTGGTCGATATAAATTTGCATATTCGCATGTTACAGGCTTCCCTGAATTCTGAAACTCTAATATAACGAAGTAATGGCATCAAGAACAAGATCCGTGCAATTTTAACTTATCGAACCTCATGTAAATAATATACATATACATAGCAATGGTGTTGAACGTCCAACACCTACACAATTACACGTAGTGGCAAACCTTTAGCACCAAGTTAAAACTTCAATGCATAAGTAATGATAAAAACACTAACCTCCAAATATAGAAAGCCAAAAACCTGGCAGTGATCCATACTAATGTTACTTGTTTTGAGGAGCACTGATCGATACTAGTCCTGGTAATATGGAGGTGCAGTACAAATGTTTGCCATTTATTTGGAGCTTTCTGTGCTCGGTGGGGTTGCAACATTGGCCTATTCTAGCCTTTGCTTCTCTTGTACGAAACGAGGACTATTACTCGTTTGAGATGATGAAATGCTGCTGCTCCTTTTCCGATAATGGAACATTTCTGAACCAAAAATAAATCTAAAACTTGAAGAGTTCTAGAAAGTGGGCGTTTGTAAGCTTAGCCCTCTTGATAATCTCATGCTTCTTCTTCTTGCTTTAGGCTTAGAGGCAATGCCATGAACTTGTGCCATAGCTCTTCTCTTTGCAGTGTTTGTGGTGGCAGGTCTTCATTCTATTCTTCTGGAGATCCTTCTCAATATCAAGCATGGCAAGTGGCAATTCAATTCCTCGGTATAGCAGCTTTGGGAGCCAACACCTGTCTACATCAGTACATCAAAGTAGAGATGCAATTATACATCGCGGCAATATCCTCAGGGAATTCTAATATCAGGACTAGTAGTTGATCTTTATTTTTAAGATCATGTTTGGGATATTTGACAAGATTATAAGCAAACAAACTACTGCCTCCAGTGTGAGCAATTTGTCCAAAAGAAATAGCAAAATGAGCACCTCGCAAATCTTCGAAGATAGACCTAGTCATAGTTCTAACATCCACAAGCCTAATGGGTCTATATCTTCATCTGACATAGATGTGCTCTTCCTGAAACTGAGATGAAATTCATTCTTCTACAGAAACAGCATTTGCCTGCCCTGCCCTGCCCTCCCCTCCCCCTCAAAAGAAGAGCATTCAGACAGCTTCATATATCACCCATCACCAGATTCCAGCAAGACAGACGGAAGCCATCATAAGCCTGCGGATTAGTGGCTATAGCTTCAACCAATGTCAAGATATTACTTCATTGTCCTTTCCACAAATGACTTCTTTTAGCTGTATCAAATTATAGCTGAGAATGAATGCTAGGGCATAAGGCCACTATATCCACAAGATGAATGACATAGAGATGTGAATATTTAAAAAAGAAAAATAAAAGAAGTGTGACAATACAAGATTAGACAAAATCATCTGTCAGAAAGTGCAAATTGTAGAATTTAAACACATACACAGAGCCGACGCAACGGAAATTAATCAAGAAACATACCTTCAGCCATTGTTGTTCAAGCGTGGTAGGGAATTGCCTTTGAAACTTTTAGCAGAAACCTTAGGGAGCCTTCTAGCGCCTGTGCCTATCGTAGGATGCCAGATGATGGAATCACAGGCGTATTTATAGGTAGGCTAGGGACTCTTAGGCAAATACTTTAACCCTAGGGACTTCTCATTAAATTATAATTACCCTAGGAACTACTAATATATGGTAGTTTCTTTCCATCATAAAAATTACCATATATGCATAACTACAAGATATTATCTGATATATTATTTCCTTTGAGAGACAAGGTAAATAATTTATTACCTTATATGTGGGCCACACTAGAAGTCTCTAGAAGAGACGGTAAATTTCTAACATTCTCCCACTTGGCCCACATATTAAAATTAGATAATCCTTTATGAGAGATAAACATATAATATGGCCATAGACTTTATAACTCAACTAAAAGTTATGCAACAATCACTTTAGCTAGAACATATCATTACATGAATCATGGTGTCATGCTCTTAAACAAACACTTCCTTCCATGGATTAATATAAGTCATTTAGAGCCCAACTTTATTGATCCAATGATCACAAAATAATACATGAAAAACCAAAGTGTGCACTATCATGTATATCAAAATAAACATAATGTCTAGACAAACTGTTAGAGAATAAAGCAAGGCTAAGTTGAGCTACTAAGACCCATATGGGTTACATGATCCTTGAAAATATTAGCTGGCAGACCTTTAGTCATAGGATCAACAATCATCAAAGTAGTACTAACATGCTCAAAACTCACATCTTGCTTCTTCACATAGTCTTTAATCATCAAGTACTTTATGTTGATGTGCTTGCTTCGGCTGCCACTTTTGTTATTCTTAGAAAAGAACACTGCAGCTGAATTGTTACAGAAGATTCTTAATGGCCTTGAAATGGAATCGACAATCCTAAGGCCGGAAATAAAGTTCTTCAACCATAACACCTGTGATGTAGCTTCATAGCATGCTATAAATACAACTTCCATTGTGGATGTTGCAACAATGGCCTGTTTGACACTTCTCCAAGATACAACACCTCCAGCAAGAAGGAAAATGTATCATGAAGTGGATTTACCAGTGTCTTTGCATCCACCCAAATCAGAGTCTGAATATCCAATCACCTCCAATGAGTCAGAGTATTTGTATGTGAGCTTAAAATCCTTGGTTCCTTGCAAATATCTCAAGACCCCCAGAACGAACAAGATACGGGTTGAGAAGGGGGAGTTAGCAAAGTTAGACAAGATTGGAATGGGCATAGGAACATGTATTGATGTACCAGATCGGCTAATGCTCCCAGGTTGATGCAATGTATTCCACCAGTTGACTGAAGACTTGATTATTGGTATATCGATCGGTCCAGCACGAATTGAAATAGGAGCCGGTTCGACAGAAAGCTTTTACCAGCTTTCCAATGGTCAAGACCAGGGTTACTTTGATATCTGCCAAGCATTCCTACTGCAAAAGCAATATCAGATCTAGTACAGACCTGTGCATACATAAGGCTCCCAACAAGCGAAGCATAGGGAATGTCTTTCATTTGCTCCTTTTCCAATGCATTTTGTGGACATTGATTCAAAGAGAATTTGTCACCTTTAATTATGGGTGCTACTATAGGTGAACAGTTTTTCATCCCGAATCTTTCCAGAATTCTTTCAATGTAGGCCTTTTGAGACAGTCCAAGTAATCTTTGGGATCCGTCTCTGTGAATCTCTATGCCAATGACATAAGAAGCTTCACCCATATCCTTCATCTCAAAATTCTGGATAAGGAACTATTTAGTCTCGTGCAGCAATCCCAAATCACTACTTGCAAGCAAAATGTCATCCACATATAGGACTAGAAAATATATTTGCTCCCACTTATCTTAAGGTATATACACTGATCAATGATGTTCTCCGTAAATCCAAAATAAGAAACAACATTATGAAATTTAATATACCATTAGCGGGAAGCCTGCTTTAGCCCATAAATGGATTTATTCAACTTGCAAACAAGGTGACCTTTGTCCTTATCACAAAATCCTTCAGGCTGACGCATGTATACCTCCCCTTCAAGATCTCCATTCAGGAAAGCTGTTTTCACATCCATTTGATGTAACTCTAAATCAAAATGAGCTACTAATGCCATGATTATTCTCAATGAATCCTTCTTTGATACTGCAGAGAAGGTTTCATGGTAATCAATGCCTTCCCTTTGAGTAAAACCCTTAGCTACAAGTCTGGCTTTATATCGTTCGATATTACCCGATGAGAATCTTTTAGTCTTACAGACCCGCTTGGAACATATGGTAGAGGATCCCTTTATATCTTTTAGCCATAGATTCTAACTCTTCTTTCATGGCATCATACCAAAGTGTGGAGTTTTCTATGGATCATCTTTTAGTCTAGTATCATAATCAGACTCTTGGAGATATACAACATAGTCGCTAGAAATTGCTTATTTTTGAATTCTTGAGGATTTTCTCACTCCCACTGGTTCAGACACTACTTCAGTGGGTTCAGGTACAGGGTGTTGATCTTCATGTGGCTCCTCAAGTAGTGGTGGCTCTTAAACTTGTTGTTGTTCAGATAATTCATGAGAATTTTTCTGAGCAACATCCAAGTTCCCAATGTATAAAGGTACCACAAGTGGTTACCTTATTTCTTCTAATTCGACTCGTTGAGTCAAACCACTCCCACTTTCTTCATGTTCCTCAAGAAATTTAGCATTTCTAGCCTCAACAATTTTAGGAGAATGAGAAGAACAATAAAACCTAAATCCCATAGAGTTAATTGCATAGCCTATAAAATGACCGCTTATCGTTCTTTCATCCAACTTCTTTAGTTGTGGATTATAAACCCTCACTTCAGTTGGACATCCTCAAACGTGTAAATGGTTTAAACTAGGCTTCCATCCTTTCCGTAACTCGAAAGGTGTCTTGGAGACAACCTTGGATGGAACCCTATTCAAAATATACATAGCAGTTTTTAAGGCTTCACTCCATAAGGATAAAGGTAAACTTGATCTGCTAATCATGCTTCTTACCATGTCCATAAATGTCCGGTTCCTTCTTTCTGCCACACTATTTTGTTGTGGTGTTCCTGGCATGGTATATTGGGCAATTATACCTTCACTTTCAAGGAACTCGGCAATTGGACCCTTAACTTGTCCCTTATCTGTGTACCTACCATAATATTCTCCACCCCTATCAGATCTTACAATTTTGATCTGAGCACCGGTTTGTTTCTCTACTTCTGTTTTGTATACTTTAAAAGCATCAAGTGCTTCTGATTTGTTAAACAGAAAATAGAGATACATATATCTTGAATAGTCATTAATAAATGAGATAAAATATCTCTCACCATTAAAGCAATTGAGAACTCCTTTTGGCACCTTTAGTTGATTTGTTGTGGTCTGCTTACCTTTTATGCAGTCCACACAAGTCCCAAAGTCAGAAAAATCAAGAGTCATCATTAACCAACTCTTTGACTCTA